AGGCGTAAATATAGTGTGTGATGTGACTCAAGTCCTCTGTAAAGCTAACATTTGTCTGCAAGACAAAGTCCGCTTGTTGCATTTGTGCAAGTCTATTTCCTACCAGACTATCTAGATACATCCAAGTCACTCACACAGGTCTTCAAGGCCCCATTTATAAGTGCCTCATCATTTACACTCAACCAAAGATCTCTCAGTTTGCCACATTGCTGATCTCCTTGAAAGCTGTCTTGATTTTCATTTCATCATTTACACTCAGATACTTAATGCAAATGTGGTTATGCATACTTTCACTACTAAGGTGTCTTTCAGAGCCTGGATAGCTCAGTCGGTAGAGCATCAGACTTTTAATCTGAGGGTCCAGGGTTCAAGTCCCTGTTCAGGCGTAAATCTATTGTGTGATGTGACTCAAGTCCTCTCTAAAGCAAACATTTGTCTGATAGACCACGTCCGCTTGTTGCATTCGTGGTAGTCTGTTTCCGACCAGACTATCTAGATACATCCAAGTCACTCGCACATGTCTTCAAGAACCCATTTATAAGTGCCTCATCATTTACACTCAACCAAAGATCTCTCAGGTTGCCACATTGCTGATCACCTTGAAGGCTGTCTTGATTTTCAGATACTTAATGCAAATGTGGTTATGCATACTTTCACTACTAAGGTGTCTTTCAGAGCCTGGATAGCTCAGTCGGTAGAGCATCAGACTTTTAATCTGAGGGTCCAGGGTTCAAGTCCCTGTTCAGGCGTAAATCTATTGTGTGATGTGACTCAAGTCCTCTCTAAAGCTAACATTTGTCTGCTAGACCACGTCCGCTTGTTGCATTCGTGGTAGTCTGTTTCTGACCAGACTATCTAGATACATCCAAGTCACTCGCACATGTCTTCAAGAACCCATTTATAAGTGCCTCATCATTTACACTCAACCAAAGATCTCTCAGGTTGCCACATTGCTGATCTCCTTGAAGGCTGTCTTGATTTTCAGATACTTAATGCAAATGTGGTTATGCATACTTTCACTACTAAGGTGTCTTTCAGAGCCTGGATAGCTCAGTCGGTAGAGCATCAGACTTTTAATCTGAGGGTCCAGGGTTCAAGTCCCTGTTCAGGCGTAAATATAGTGTGTGATGTGACTCAAGTCCTCTGTAAAGCTAACATTTGTCTGATAGACCACGTCCGCTTGTTGCATTCGTGGTAGTCTGTTTCCGACCAGACTATCTAGATACATCCAAGTGGCTCGCACATGTCTTCAAGAACCCATTTATAAGTGCCTCATCATTTACACTCAACCAAAGATCTCTCAGGTTGCCACATTGCTGATCTCCTTGAAGGCTGTCTTGATTTTCAGATACTTAATGCAAATGTGGTTATGCATACTTTCACTACTAAGGTGTCTTTCAGAGCCTGGATAGCTCAGTCGGTAGAGCATCAGACTTTTAATCTGAGGGTCCAGGGTTCAAGTCCCTGTTCAGGCGTAAATATAGTGTGTGATGTGACTCAAGTCCTCTGTAAAGCTAACATTTGTCTGATAGACCACGTCCGCTTGTTGCATTCGTGGTAGTCTGTTTCCGACCAGACTATCTAGATACATCCAAGTGGCTCGCACATGTCTTCAAGAACCCATTTATAAGTGCCTCATCATTTACACTCAACCAAAGATCTCTCAGGTTGCCACATTGCTGATCTCCTTGAAGGCTGTCTTGATTTTCAGATACTTAATGCAAATGTGGTTATGCATACTTTCACTACTAAGGTGTCTTTCAGAGCCTGGATAGCTCAGTCGGTAGAGCATCAGACTTTTAATCTGAGGGTCCAGGGTTCAAGTCCCTGTTCAGGCGTAAATATAGTGTGTGATGTGACTCAAGTCCTCTGTAAAGCTAACATTTGTCTGCAAGACAAAGTCAGCTTGTTGCATTTGTGCAAGTCTATTTCCTACCAGACTATCTAGATACATCCAAGTCACTCACACAGGTCTTCAAGGCCCCATTTATAAGTGCCTCATCATTTACACTCAACCAAAGATCTCTCAGGTTGCCACATTGCTGATCTCCTTGAAGGCTGTCTTGATTTTCAGATACTTAATGCAAATGTGGTTATGCATACTTTCACTACTAAGGTGTCTTTCAGAGCCTGGATAGCTCAGTCGGTAGAGCATCAGACTTTTAATCTGAGGGTCCAGGGTTCAAGTCCCTGTTCAGGTGTAAATCTATTGTGTGATGTGACTCAAGTCCTCTCTAAAGCTAACATTTGTCTGCTAAACCACATCCGCTTGTTGCATTCGTGGTAGTCTGTTTCCTACCAGACTATTCTAGATACATCCAATGCCCCTTTCACACCAACGCAACTCCGGTTCAAGCTCCGTGCTAGAGCTTTTCTGGTTCAGAACCGGTTCTTCGGTTTAGCGCCGGCTCTTTTCACACCGCTCAGAGCCCGACTGGTGCTGCCGCTGCTGCGTCATGACGTCACAGTTTACGTCGCTGAGTTTCTCCCCAACGCCGGAGCTCACCTCACAACAACAACGGGCCGGGGACTGCGTTGCTTTTAATCATACGAAGCCAGATTAAATTAAATAACGACTTCTCCAACCTTATACTTTTCTCCAGAGTGCCGTGGTTCATTGTTTACTAATGTGTTTCAGCGGCATTTACCGACCGCTGCAGTGCTGCTGCTCTTCCAAGAGTGTATTCTCCCGTTAGCTCCGGGTTAGCTCACACGGCTCTAAAGTATTCACTGTCTGACTGTCACACAAGCAGCTGATACATATCCCCAGTTCCCCTTAAGTGAATGTGTGTCAGTCTGAATTGACGCTGTTTGGTGTCAGTCTGAATTGACGCTGTTTGGCATCACAACGCTGTTATGAAAGTTTCTCTGGTATAACATGGGTGATGTTAGCATAGCAACCGAAGCTAAACTGACTAAGCAGTTTTCTACGGGCACTTTTTACTGACGTATTTTTCATTATGATTCTACTTGTGATAGTCGGACATGACAACCTGTGCAGCCCATGTATTGATTCCATCCGATAGCTGCTATAATAACAAACAAAACGTCTGCCTGCTCTCCACAATGATCAATAACAGCGAACGGATGGTCAAAGTAAGGTACAAATAAACAGAATCACACAAAGCCTGGTTAGTGTTGCCTGACTTTATAAAGTGTGTTTTTTTTAACAAGTGTGTGGATGCGTTCTAGTCACTTTGCTCAGCACTACTGCTTGTTACAACTTTTATTTGCCGTACTCGCCTTAAGTGTTAGCTCAGGTTAATCTCGCCCCCCTCCGACGTAAGCGTGACGTATGCGGTTCTTGCTTCTAGACGGACAACTTTTTGGTGCTCGAAATGAACCGGATTCCGGAGCTATGACGCTGCTCCGCTGCGGTGTGAACAGGAAAACCCGGTGCTTTTCAAGCACCAGCACCGAACCGGCCCTGAAACACCGTTGGTGTGAAAGGGGTACAAGTCACTCGCACATGTCTTCAAGAACCCATTTATAAGTGCCTCATCATTTACACTCAACCAAAGATCTCTCAGGTTGCCACATTGCTGATCTCCTTGAAGGCTGTCTTGATTTTCAGATACTTAATGCAAATGTGGTTATGCATACTTTCACTACTAAGGTGTCTTTCAGAGCCTGGATAGCTCAGTCGGTAGAGCATCAGACTTTTAATCTGAGGGTCCAGGGTTCAAGTCCCTGTTCAGGCGTAAATCTATTGTGTGATGTGACTCAAGTCCTCTCTAAAGCTAACATTTGTCTGATAGACCACGTCCGCTTGTTGCATTCGTGGTAGTCTGTTTCCTACCAGACTATCTAGATAAATCCAAGTCACTCGCACAGGTCTTCAAGGCCCCATTTATAAGTGCCTCATCATTTACACTCAACCAAAGATCTCTCAGGTTGCCACATTGCTGATCTCCTTGAAAGCTGTCTTGATTTTCATTTCATCATTTACACTCAGATACTTAATGCAAATGTGGTTATGCATACTTTCACTACTAAGGTGTCTTTCAGAGCCTGGATAGCTCAGTCGGTAGAGCATCAGACTTTTAATCTGAGGGTCCAGGGTTCAAGTCCCTGTTCAGGCGTAAATCTATTGTGTGATGTGACTCAAGTCCTCTCTAAAGCTAACATTTGTCTGCTAGACCACGTCCGCTTGTTGCATTCGTGGTAGTCTGTTTCCTACCAGACTATTCTAGATACATCCAAGTCACTCGCACATGTCTTCAAGGCCCCATTTATAAGTGCCTCATCATTTACACTCAACCAAAGATCTCTCAGGTTGCCACATTGCTGATCTCCTTGAAAGCTGTCTTGATTTTCAGATACTTAATGCAAATGTGGTTATGCATACTTTCACTACTAAGGTGTCTTTCAGAGCCTGGATAGCTCAGTCGGTAGAGCATCAGACTTTTAATCTGAGGGTCCAGGGTTCAAGTCCCTGTTCGGGCGTTACCTTTATTGTGTATATTAAGTCCTCACTGCAGCAGATGCTAACAATGGTTCTGCATCAGGTCCACAGTTTGCTTCTGACTTTCATGAGCTAGTCATTCGTGAAAGCCTGATTGCTTTCAGACTGACTGTATGTGCACGTCACTTTCAGAAGCCTTTATGGCCCCATGTTTTGAGGATACCTTTACGAAGTCACTAATTTGAGTGCAATCCATTTAGTTTTCCCAAGGCTACATGCACATCTGGTTCAATTCCTCTCCAGTCCACAAGGTGGTGGTAATGCTTGTCAGACTACTTGGTAACTGCAGAAAATGCTACAACAAGAATACTTCTTCTATTTTTTTGTTGACAAATGTTTTCCTCATCAGTGTAATGTTTGTCTCTCCTGGCAGAAGTGTATTTGTTAATCCTATAACACTCAGAAACATCATGAAGTTTATATATAATAAAATGTTTGCTGTGCTTCAGATTTGTGTGGCTAAGACTCAGTGTAGATAGAACAGATTGTTTGCTGAGAGCCTATAATAATTTGTTTTGATGTGTGTTCCCCACAGTTATGACTCCAACATGGACGACAGCAGAGACAACAAGAAGAACCGTTTCTCCAACACAATGGTCTTCATGGAGGAATATCTGAACAACGTCCTGAACGATGAGCTGCCCTTTCACAACGAGGAGAAAAACAAACTCACATACGAGGTCAGCCCTCGCTCTTTTACTTCTATTCCCATTTTACCACTTTCTTAATCCATCAGTTTTGCATTTTTTGTCTCTGATCACTGCCTCTTCTTTTCGGTCTTTCTCCAGGTGGTGAGTTTGGCCAGACATTTGATCTACTTTGGTTTCTACAGTTTCTTTGAGCTGCTCAGACTCACCAGAACTCTGCTGGGCATCATCGACTGTAGACCCAACCCTGGATATGCTGGGGTCTTATTCCATGATGATGGATCAGGTACTTAATGCTCTGATAACTGTTAACCTTTATATTTTTTTACATTATGTTAATCTTCATTTGTCTCACGTTGCCTGCCTGTTCTTTGTTACATTTACAAAAACATATACAATACACATTTCCAGACATTAAAAGCTGAACATTTTGTTGACATTTTTTTTTTCTAAAGGATGCTATGTAGAAGTTTTAAAGTCAACCAAGTAGTTTTGCTTTTTTATTCTTTCAGACATGTTTGTCACTCATCATTTCGTCTCCTGACTGGTTTTGACTTTGAGAGTCTTTAAGAGTTACTGTTTTGTGTCAGCTAACCGTTTAGTCACTGCTACTGTTACTTGCAGTCGCTAACAAATTTAAATATAGGTTAATTTCCTTCACACCTAGATAACGCCCTGGCCTATCACTGCGTAAAGGGGCAGTGATTGATGCATTTTCCACTTCAAAAGTCTCCTGTCTTTGCCCCTTTGGATTTAGTCGGTAATAATGCAGACCATTGCTTTCTGTTCTTCCCTCCCGTCTGAAGGGAAAAACGTCAAGCGCTCCATACATGGGATGGGTCAGATTATGTCCACCATGGTCCTTAACAGGAAGCAGTCCATATTTGGAGGTGCAGGAGCCAGAGGGGCGGGGGCGGGAAATGCGCTTGAAGGACAGAGAGGCAGTAAAGATAGTATCGAAAATATGGACCTGACTGTGATGGACACCAAGCTGAAGATACTGGAGATATTACAGGTAACTTATATCACATATGAATTATATTAAATACACACTCAATGCCCACCTTGTTAGGTACACCTGTACAATATACCTCGTTAAAATGTTTTCTCTTGCTTATTAACGTCTCCACTGTTGATGATATAAGCAAGTTTGCAGTTTTCAAATGTTTCACTTTATAACCAGGATTGGTGCCTAGTTGAAGCAAGCAACACCTTTTTTTAAAGTGTTAATGTTGTAGTTTCTCCTGTTTTTCCTTTCAAATTGTATATGTCCAAACTAGGAACAGCTGCTCTAACCCATAACACCATGTTTTGCTCTTCATCAGTTCATCCTGAACGTTCGTCTGGACTACCGCATCTCCTTCCTGCTGTCAGTGTTTAAGAAAGAGTTTGTGGATGTTTATCCCATGGCTGATGCCGACGCCACCACCAATTTGGAGCACGCAGGTACACACAGAAAGCCAATGGAAACACACTCTTTCAGTTTGTTTTGGACTGAAACCCTTGATAAATATCCAAATGTGCTTCCTGATTTTTTGTTACTGTAAAGGGAATCTGCCTATGTAAGGGAATGTTGCATATCCAGTCCTATTGTGTGTTTAGCAATTAAATATTAAATATCGACGATTTAATATTTAATTGCTCTTTGTACTGCACTTTTAGTGTACAGTTTTACTATTATGCTGCTGTGTTTATTATATTTTTGTAACTCTGGCACAACAATTTCCTTCGGGATAAATAAAGTCTTATCTTATCTCTTATCTTATCTTGTCCCTCCTCAGCCACCATCAACCTGCAGCACATTGGAGAGCAGGCTGAGGCTATGTTTGGAGTCGGGTATGTCATATATGTAGACACTTTCATTCATAAAAACCTTGATCAATATTGAACAATGATGGCTTTTTTTCAGACATTTAAAGAAGCACATAGATATAAAGTGATTTTATATATTGTGTGTGTGTGTGTGTGTGTGGTGTGTGTGTGTGTTGTGGTGTGTGTGTGTGTGTGTGTGTGTGTGTGTGTGTGTGTGTGTGTGTGTGTGTGGTGTGTGGGTGTGTGTGTGTGTGTGTGTGTGTGTGTGTGTGTGTGTGTGTGTGTGTGTGTGTGTGACAGGAAAGGGAACAGTATTTTGGAGGTGGATGATGAAGGCGGTCGGATGTTCCTGAGGGTTCTGATCCACCTCACCATGCACGACTACCCTCCTTTAGTCTCTGGAGCCCTGCAGCTGCTCTTCAGACACTTCAGCCAGAGACAGGAGGTGCTGCACACCTTCAAACAGGTACACACACACACACACACACACACACACACACACACACACACACACACACACACACACACACACACACACACACACACACACACACACACACACACAAATACATAGTATTAAAAGCTCACACTGACTTAGGGTTAGGACTGGCTATCTGCAAGGTAAAACATAGAGATTAAATACAATAAAAATAACAATAAAACAATTTCAAATAAAGTGATATAGTAACTGTTGAAACAGATATCACAGTAAAACGTTGGTCAGATAACGAATGGACATATACTGTATACACATTTGGATTGTTAAATATATTTGTTTGTGCGCAGATGTGAGTGCAGGTTAAAGTCTTGTGAAAACAGACCAAGTGAAGTAAAAAAGTAGAATAATAGCAGTGAGCATCGTACAGTATTCTTACTAATTTAAATTAAGTATACCTTCAAATATAAGCGTATGTCCTATAATCAATTACAAAGTTTTGATATCTTCCAAAAATGACAGAAGAGTTTAGTTTAGTAGTTTTATTAAAGCAATAGCAGTTAAGCTAATGTAAGGTACAGTAACAACCATCACCACCCTTAAACAACCTCAGATGAATATATGATTGAATCGTTTCCTTGAACTACGCCTTACATAACTCTTCCAAAATATAATGTTATTATTTAATGTTTTGTTGATGTAGTGAAGCACTGTCTGAAGGCCTCTTAACTTTGCAAGGATGATCCATATCCCAAATCCAAATAGTTTGGTGTTGGATGTCCTTTTACTGACCAATTTGCGGGCCATATGACTACAACTACTCTAGGGTTGGATTACGACGGCCATTTACTCACCTCTTTGCATTGGCTTTTAATACTATTTCATTTTGATATGTATATGTGTTTTTATATGTCTCTAGTTATTGTGCTTGTTATCTTGTTTATAATTATTGTTTTATTATTTTACTCCCTGTACAGCACTTTGGTCAACTGAGGTTGTTTTAAATGTGCTATATAAATAAATAAAGATTGAGATTGATTGAGAATGATTTAATCTAGACCCATTATTAAATCCACTTTACAAATCTGAATCATGTTGAATCTGTGGAAGTGGAATAATTGCACAGATAGATTGATTGACCGACTCACTGTTCGCTGGACGCTCATGTTAATCCTTGTTTTTGCTCCTCCACAGGTCCAGTTGTTGATCACGTCGCAGGATGTAGAAAACTACAAGCTGATCAAGGCGGATCTGGACCGACTCCGAACGCTGGTGGAGAAATCTGAACTGTGGGTGGAGAAGAAGAGCTCAGGTGGAGGCGACGGGAAGAAAGACAAGAAGGACAAGAAGGAGAAAGGGGAGGTGGGGAGCAAAAACATCATTATTTACACCTTTATTTTCACTATAGAGGCATTAGTATTTATAAAATAAAAGAACAGATTGTCTGGAGTTCAAGGAGCAAAGAGGTGGTGGAGAGTGCAGTATCATCAGCATACAGCGCTATGTTGAGAGAGAGTTTCTACAAGGATTTAGGGACAATTTTATTTCAAACTGTCTAAGTTTAACACTCCTTCATAACTAATGGGTGAGATCTTCATGTCTAGATGGCTGAGTGTTAATAACTACAATGCAACTAACACTGACCACTAACTCAAAAGCACTACTTTAACAAGGACCAAAGTAACAAGAACCATTTTCTTGGTTGAAGATTAACACTACTAACGACAACAAATATATATTTATTTTGAACCTTTGCATCCTGTACTTACCGTTGGTGTGGGGCTTGCTGATGTCTCAGACGCTGCAACGATATGGTCCTGGGTTCAGATCTGGCTGTGGGCTTTTGTTGCATGTCACAACTCCCTGTCTCTCTTTATTGTTTGGTTCTACTGTGAAATGTAGGCAAAATGCTCCAAACCTGTTCTAATACTACCATTTCATCATTGTCTACTATTCTATACTGCATAACAAGCCATTCGTATCTGACAACAAGTAATAAGCTACTTGGGTTGTGGATAAACGCTAGCATGATTATGTCACCGAATTGCAGTTTCATTTATTTTTTGTCATTCAGGTAAACATTGATATTATGTTATTTCTGTATGTAGTCGGTCACGTATCCGTCCTGCTAAGCTCATTTTTACTCAATGCCTTAGTGTATCAATGTTTAGTAAAGCAGTTAAACTAAGACATGTTATATCTTTACGCTGATTTGTTAGAACCTGCACAGCCGCAGACGTTTTATCCACACTTTTTACCAGGTTTTGGTCGTTTTTCGTTGATTTATTTCATAGATTTAACTAGGTAGCTAGCTACGTAGAAAAGTGACATCCCCAATTTCCTAAGAAAACTCCTTAAAGGTGGGGTATGTAATTTATTTCAGAAACACTTTTTGTTATATTCCATGGAATGCTCTTAACATCCCGATAGCAATGAATATCTTAAATGCTTTGACAATAAATACATAAAAAAATGTCATCTGTGGAAGCCGTAATACTGTAAAAAGCACGACCAATCATTTGAGCCGGCCCTGCTAAAATAACTGGATGGCCTACCTGCCTGTCAGCCTTCCATCTGTGCACAAACTTATCTCGTGCCCTCATTGGTCATGTGCGCGTTCGTGTGTGTTGGAGGAGGGGCTCTGTAAGGAAGTGGCAGATTTGTTCCGGTTGTGTATTTTCAAATTCTAGCGCACTCGAGCTGGTTTCTCAAAATTACCTACCCCACCTTTAAGGTTGATTGTTATTCAAGACCTTTTCGAATTACTGAATAAATTGGAAATTGGAAATAATGCTGAAAATGAAGATACAAATGATAGAAAAACTTTGTGAACAATGACGTTCTGCTACCAGCTAAATACATATCAGGAGGAGGTTGTTTTAGTGCCTAGGCAATTATTAAAGGTACTTAATATAAGATAGCTTCCCCAACATTATAGGTTATTTTGAAACTCGGATCTAGTTTTGATTTAATTGAGGATCCATGGGTGTCTGCATAATATAAAACCCTAACTTTTTCGTCTCCATATCTGCGAAGCTCCTCATGAACATAAATGCAAAACCCCAAATTCCCAAATGCGTTCACAATCGTAACACATATACTGTTTTTATAATTTAAGTATGTATACTGTAGTAATATATCCAGAGAGAACTGCATATTGTGTCTGTTTGCACCCTGCAGGGGGCATCAGAGGACGCTCCCCCCAAGAAAGAGAAGCTGGAGAAGGGCAACGAGAACTACCAGAAAGTCAAAGAGGTGAGTAGACATGTGTTCCTTCAGGAGGTTGTCTTTTATTTGTTGGTCTTCGTTGTGGTGTTTCTGCTTCCAACAGATCACCTGTCAATCCTCAATGTGGGCTTGGCTTGTCTGTATTTGTGGATGAAGAGTTTTACGTGGTGCTCCGTCTCAGTCTCTTCAGAAATGGTGGCTTTTTCACTGCTGAATTGATTACATTTTACTATTATTTCCCCCTCATAGTCAGTCTGGATTACAGCTGCTGCAAACGTCTCAAATGTGAATAAAGAATCCATTTAATCCATCCATTAGATCCCTCCTTACATTACGCAGTATGTACATTGAAAGACTTGTATGTGTGTCTAATCATTCCTCCTGATAGGAAACTACACTGCAACAACACTCACAAGCTTTGCCAACAAATCACGCAAACTGTCCGCCTTGTGATTACATTTTACTATGCCTGAAAATATTGAAAAAGGCCCAAAAAAATCACCTATTAGGCCTCAGAATCAGAAGCAAACGTTACAATATTCTGACGATTGTAGCCCAATGCCATTGTGATCATACATTTCTGATGTTTCTACGTGATTATATTGTTAAGCCTTAAAGTGGACCTATCATGCTATATTTGAATAATATAGTGTAGGACCATACCTATATAAGGCATATTTATACTTTTTTTTTTCCAAAATACCAAACAGATCATGCATTTTAGCCATGCCTCATTTTGCTCAATTTGACCATTTCTAGCTCTGGGCAGATTATGTGAGCAACAGCACCATCTAGAGGCCTGGCATATGTACTACAGCGTCTCCAGCGCTTTCGAACGGCAATGGCCGTGGCTGTCTCCTCCTGATTGGTGGAGTTGGCCCAATAGCCGTAGCGCCACCGTCCTGACGTCAGGACAGTGTTCAAATCTGGATCAGTTTTTATCAGATCCGTTGCAGCCCCTTTTTTAGAGATTTGGGTATGGAGGAAAATAGAGAGGGTTGTGTTTTCTGACACTTGGTGAGTTCCCTGGAACACCGGGGACACATATTCATGTATAAAAGACGTACAAAAGTGCATTTTGCATGATAGGTCCCCTTTAAGGTCTGCTTTAATTTTTCAGTGCCCCGTTTAAAAAAAAAGTTTTTACTTGTTGTATATTAAAAATGCCATGTTATTTTGACATCATTTTTTGTTTTCTGATCTGACCACAGCACAATAAACCTGTATAAAATGTAAAAACATTTGAAGTTTCTGAAATGTAACCTAACATTTTTTGAATGTTTAAATCAGTATCTCTTCTCTATATCTGCCATAATGACCCATTCCTTTACAGTGTTAATAATGCATGCAATTGTAAATGATCAGCTTCAAGTAAAAAACTCATCTTTATTCTACATCATATACATTTTCTTTAAGCATGCAACAGAACTGTTTGCTTTGACTTGATTGTAATTTAGTTCTAGCATGTCATATTCATCTATTTTCCCCTCAACCTAAAACATATTTAGAAACTCTTTTAATGTCATTATTATTTATGTATATCTTAACTTTGTGAATGAGAAGTTATGTGGAGAGTACTTTTTATTTTGTTGGCCTATTGGAAACAATGAACTTTAACAATATAAATGTAACCAGTTTTAATAAACCGACTGAGAAAACATATTATAATGTAGCTCCTATATTTGTCTCTTCTAATGGTGCTCCCTCTCTCTCTGTAGATCCTGGAGAGGTTGAATAAGATGTGCAGCACAGGAGTCTGGAAGAAGCAGCAGAGGCTCCTGAAGAACATGGGCGCTCATAAAGTCATGCTGGACCTCCTGCAGGTGTCCTACGACCAGGTGGGACTGAGATCGCCCAAAAAAAAGCACCTCAACAGATTCACAGAGTCAGGACTGATCTTATTAAAAAAAATATTATGATTAAAGGTTCTATACATATCATTTAAAACCTAAAAGTTAATTACAGCATTGTTCTAGAAATGTTACTTCTGATCAAAAATCCTTTTATTGTGTTTCGACATTGCATAAACAGTATTTGCCATTTAGAGATGGAAAATATATGCATACAAATCAGACAGTGGACTGTACTGATTATATGTACAAAGAGAAAAACAATAACAACGACTAAAGTAATCCCCTACATTCACTGCCAGTGAGCCTCATTATTTATTATTATTATTTATCAGGAACATTGCAGCAAATACCTATACTCATACAAATCTACTGTATACATACACACATACCTACCTATAAATGTTACTTAACCACACATTGGGACTTTGGCTTAAGTAAAGAGCATTTCAATAAAATAAAAGTCCTCTCAATGTCAACCTTCTCTCTTCGTTGTCTGTCTGTCTGCAGAGTGATTTGAAGATGCTGGAGATCATCAGGTACACTCACCTGTTCCTGCAGAAGTTCTGCACGGGGAACCAGGAGAACCAGGCTCTGCTGCATAAGAACCTCAACCTGTTCCTCAACCCGGGGGTACGCTGCTTATAACTGATCAGGTTCAGAGGAATAAGACAGTATTCACACAGAAATAAAACAGTTTTGATGATTGTTTGCTAGTTTAAGATTTTCATCAAGATCAATTTACAAAAAGCAGTGGTTCCAGTTGATCAAATGTGATGTTCTTTTTGTATAACTTGACTCAAAATTAACTGTGTTGTTGATTGACTGAGAGAAAAAGCAACTTGGGGATGTCACCTTCCATTGTTTCTGATATTTGACATAACACACAATCAAAAACAAAGACAAATAATGGAGATCATTGCAAAGACATGCCAATATTTGCTGGTTAAAACTACAGACAAAAGTGTTTGATATGTCACAAACTAAATGAGTAAATCCTATGATTGAACAGAAGTGACACCTTTTGTTTTCACGGGAAGACTAGGGGTAGAGGAATGTGAGAATTTGGCTAGGGGTACTGCCAAATATCTGGAACAAACTACCAGAAACATTCAGGTCCGCTGCAACTCTGACTACTTTTAAATCCAGGCTGAAGACTTTCTTTTTGCCGCTGCTTTTAATTGAACTATTCACATCTCACACTGCACTGTAACTTTTATTCATGTACCTGTGTTATTCATGTTTTATTATCTTTGCTTTTTAATGTTTCTAATGTGTTTCATGCTCTTAATGTTTTTCATTTTTGTAAAGCACTTTGAATTGCCTTGGGTTGAAAAGTGCTATATAAATAAACTTGCCTTGCCTTCAGCTGCTGGAGGCGGAGACGGTTCAGCACATCTTCAGCAACAACTACCAGCTGTGCAGCGAGATCTCAGAGAGCGTCCTGCAGCACTTCATCCACTGCCTAGCAACGCACGGTCGCCACGTGCAGTACCTCAACTTCCTGCACACCATCATCAAGGCCGAGGGCAAGTACGTGAAGAAGTGCCAGGACATGATCATGACCGAGGTGAGGACACAAAGACACTGCTAAATCAAATCAAATCAAATCAAACTTTATTTGTATAGCCCAATATCACAAAACACGGTGGTCTCAGTGGGCTTTACAGATTAAAAACAAACAACAACATTTTATATGATGGAGACTGTCCACTTTTTTTCTTTTTTTTTTACGCTGCTATGGACAGTCTTGCGCTAATGTACATTCTCAAAGATATTGAACACTGGAAAAAATGCTGTTCCAAAAACAAGTCGAAAATAATGAAAACAAGGGGTTTTCACTTGAAATAAGTACAAAATAGAACAAGTGAAAATTAACTTGGTAACATTTCTTGAAATAAGAATGGATATTTAGATAAATCACATCTTGTAATTAGCTGGGAAACTTATTTTGAACTATATTTGACCAGAATCAGGAAGTGTTGTGTTACAATATGAGCCTCATATGCTCAAAAGTGTTCTGTTCTCTGATGTTAGTTGGTGATTTTCCAATAAATATGTGAAAAAAAATAAGTTTCATCTGAGATACGATTCAAAATAAGATTTTTTGACTTAACAAGATGATGCATTGTCTAAAAACAAGACCCGATATCTCACTGCCGTGTTACTTCTGAAGTTATTATGTCTTATATCAGGTGTAAAGACTTATTCTGACTAGATATTAGACACATATACTGGGCAAGATTTGGAGTTTTTGTCGTGAAGTGGCTGTTATTTTGTATATATTGATTGTTGTAGGTCTTAATGTGTGCATATGTAAAAATGTGTCTGTTGATTGTGTAGGATATACATATTTGCATACATATTTGTATATACATTTGTTTTTGTATTCTGTAAACAGTATTTCGATCTCTCTGTCTGTACGCATTATTCAAACTGAAAGATTGACAATAAAGTTGACTTTGACTTTGATGGAGTTACAGCAAAATGAAGATAGTGTGTGGAATACACATACAAATACAACTAAATAATATTGAATAACACAAAAGACAATAAAAATACATAAAACATTCAAATTAATTACCATAACAATTCAATTAAATAAATACCATAAAATGCCAGCTCTAACTGAAGGCTTTGTTAAAAATGTAGGTCTTCAACGCACTCTTTAAGGTTGGGACACTTAGAAGTGTTTCCTGTTATGTATTTGTTTGTTTATTTATCTGTTTATTTATTTGTTGTTTTTGTTTTTCAATAACAAATGTGTAAATGTAATAAAAAATATATATATGTTAATAATTTAGTTTTTGGGAGAAGGGGTGGGATTAAATAAGATTAAACTTCTTCCCACCCCTTTTCGGATGTGTAATTAAATAGATTATTTGTTTATCAATTTGACACTGCTTAAGTTTCTATTGTATAATAATTCTCATGTTTCATTTCATTTTTATTATTATTAGTTTTGTATTATTGTTTTACACATTCGAAATAAATCAAATCTAATCAAATCAAATGTAACGCTGATCTCTCTGCAGCTCACTAACTCCGGGGAGGACGTGGTGGTCTTCTACAACGACAAGGCCTCGTTCAACGTGATGCTGGACCTGATGGCCGAGAGTCGGGAGGGGGTCGGGGAGAGCAGCCCACTCAGGTAAACACGGGGAATATCAAGTGACAAGCAGGCAGGCAAGGCACATTACAAGCTCTTAAAAAAACATTAAAATCATTCAGACACAATAATAATAACACAAAATAATGCAAATAAATCATAAATAATAATACTTTGACTATATATCACTAATACTATTTTATAGACAGACACTTGAATTTGCGGGTTCAAATTCATAAATAAATAAATACACAATATGAAACACAATTGTAATTCACACATAATATTTTTTACCCATTCCTGCAATAGCAACGCATTCAATTGTCTCTAAAAGCAGTCATTAAAGAGCCAAGATAACAGAGATACAATAAAATAGAATAGAAGTTACAGTGTGTAAAATATTAATAATTAGTGCTTAATATTATAAGTATTGATAGATAGATAGATAGATAGATAGATAGATAGATAGATACTGTAGATAGATACTGTAGATAGATAGATAGATAGATAGATAGATAGATAGATTATTTCGTCACAGAAGCAGAGTGTGTTCAGACATTAAAATACAATACTTAAAAACGTGGAAAAGAGAATTAACAATTCAAAATAAAAGGAAAAAATGAAAAATATTATATCAAATATAAACAATATAAACAAAACAATATTAAATGTTCTGGATAATTCAAATAAAAAGTCAAAATACTACAGGATAATACCACTCTGTAGTATGTAATACTCCACTACAGGTAAGTCCTGCATACAAAACCTTACTTATCTCACGTTGTAAAGTACAGGTAGTACATCATATAGCTGCTGTGTTTAGTTATTTGTTTAGGTTTAGGTTTTAGACACACACAGAATATACAGCTTCACAGTATCATACCTTTGATTGTTAAATATCCCCCCCCCCCCTGCAGGTACCACATCTCTCTGGTGGAGCTGCTGGCAGCGTGCGCCGAGGGGAAGAACGTTTACACGGAGATCAAATGTACGTCTCTGCTTCCTCTGGAGGACGTGGTGCGAGTGGTGACGCACGAGGACTGCATCACCGAGGTAACGTCCTGTATTTCAGCTCCATATTCTATAAAGGAAATATATGTAGATACTGCCACCCACTGCTATAATGTAATCTGCCTATACCGGAATAAATTACATGAAATGAAAAATACTACGGTGTAGAAACGTTTTTTTCGAAATTGTTTTCATCATGAATACTTTCACACAAAGCGCTTATATTTTGCCGCACAACAGTATGTTTTTTTTTCCTAGTAAGGTGTCATTTCTTCAGCCTTTTGCCCCTCAAATAAAGGCGTTTATTTATCCTGCTCTGTACTCGTCAATTATCTGCAGGACATTATACCGTAAAGAAATGACATGAAATTGAAAATACTACGGTGTAGAAATGTTTTTTTCCAAATTGTTTTCATCATGAATACTTTCACACAAAGCGCTTATAGTATACCGCAAAACAATATATATTTTTTCCTAGAAAGGTGTCATTTCTTCAGCCTTTTGCACTTCAAATAAAGGCATCAACCTTTATTTATCCTGCTCTGTACGCGTCAATTATCTGCATGACTTTCTGTTTATGTGTTACAGTCAAAAAGTGCCACTTAAAGTTATACAGTATTGACACTAAGACCCGTCTCTCTCTCTGTCTGCAGGTGAAGGTGGCGTACGTGAACTTTGTGAATCACTGCTACGTGGACACAGAGGTGGAGATGAAGGAAATCTACACGTCGAACCACATCTGGAAACTGTTTGAGGACTTCACCGTGGACATGGCCAGGGTAACCGCTCTGTCCTGGTGACTATTAATAATGCAGCGAGAGGGACTCTGTCCTGTGCTAAGTATCAGTAAATACTGGTACTTTCCGTGTGTTTGAATCAGTCAATAATTCATCACTTCCAGAAATGAAATGTACGTTGGCCTCAATATGTTGTATTTCTTGTTTCCTGATGTCCTCTGTCTCCTCTGCAGGTGTGTAACCAGCGGGAGAAGCGCCTCACTGATCCCATCCTGGAGAAATACATCATCAACGTGGTGTTCGACACCATCCACTCCTTCTTCAGCTCCCCGTTCTCTGAGAACAGCACGTCTCTGCAGGTCAGGACCAGCATGCTCTCTGCTGCAAAACACCACTCAGACGTCGTTAATATATATAATGTTGTTTTTTGCAAGGGACGACAGAAGTTGGGTTTAAAAGTTTATTTAAGATAGGGTTAGAAATTATGAGAAACTATCAAGAGTACGATACTGTGGATTTTGAACCCAGCCTGACAGATCGTCCCTTCAGGCCTCCATGCAAAGGCACTCACACATTAACAAAAAACAAGGTTATTTTAAGTTCAATAGTTCAATTAAAAGCAGCAGCAAAAAGAAAAGTCTTCAGCTTGGATTTAGGACTTCTATTTATATTAGATAGGACTTTTTCTGCGTCTCACTCTCCCCTCTCACTCTCTCAGACTCATCACACCATCGTCACCCAGCTCCTTCAGTCCTCTGTGCGGCTGCTGGACTGTCCCTGGCTGCAGCAGCAGCACCGAGGCCAGGTGGAGACCTGCATCAAGACCCTCGCCATGACAGGTGACACACACACACACACACACACACACACACACACACACACACACACACACACACACACACACACACACACACACACACACACACACACACACACACACACACAATCACATGCACACAGACGTTACATTTTATGTTACTATATACTTCAACTCCACTACGTCTCAGATACTTGACTACGTGGTGCCTGAAGTTACTTTGAAGATTTAAAACCCTGCATTATCATACATTAAAGGTCACCTATTATGCAGAATCCACTTCATGTCTTTTCTGCATAACCATGTGTCCCCTCTTCTTCATGTCTCTTCTACATCAACATGTGTCCCCTCTTCTTCATGACTCTTCTACATCAACATGTGTCCCCTCTTCTTCATGTCTCTTCTACATCAACATGTGTCCCCTCTTCTTCATGTCTCTTCTACATCAACATGTGTCCCCTCTTCTTCATGACTCTTCTACATCAACATGTGTCCCCTCTTCTTCATGTCTCTTCTACATCAACATGTGTCCCCTCTTCTTCATGACTCTTCTACATCAACATGTGTCCCCTCTTCTTCATGTCTCTTCTACATCAACATGTGTCCCCTCTGTGGAAAGAGATTCTGAAAGTTTCAGGAAAAAAGATTCTCTCTCTTTTTGTCCTGATCCATTTCTATAAAAACCTGTCTGAAAATGAGCTGATCAGATTTTGGCCACTTTATGATGTCATAACGATGTTCTGGCTTGTGTAGCCATTAGCCAATCACCAACCAAGGTAACCCCCCCCCCCCCTTATCACCTGAATCTCCTCCTAGAGCACCATTGTGTTCTTTGTAACCAAATATCTCTCAGAGGGGCGTGGGGAGGGGCTCCTTATTTTCATCTAAAGTAACAGACAGAGAATCAGCACTTTTGAAACAGGGCTGAAACAGAGGGGATTATGGGATGCTGCAATGATCTGTTTGGTGTTTGGAGCCAAACACTTCAGAGACATGTTTTGTATATATCTGAGACCTATAATATATTGATGAAAAACAGTATAATAGGTGACCTTTAAAACCCTGCATTATCATACATTAAGTCAAACCACCTAGATGTATACAATATCAGTATAACAAGCTCTACTGCAGAAAAATACAACAATCATGTTGTAAAAGTAGCAATACTACTTAGTAAAATTACTTTGTTACAATAAAAATGTCCTGCATTCAAAATCTTACTCAGGTAAAAACGCAAAAGTATAAACAGTTTTTTCTCTCTGCTGCATTGAAGTTATTAATGTTTGATGGTTTCTCCTCAGCTAAGAGCCGCTCCATCGCGCTGCCTCTGGACCTGGAGTCTCAGATCAGCTGCATGCTCTCCAGCTCCGCTCTCAACTCTCTGTCTCGCTCCAACCCGAACTACAAGTCCTCCTCCCGCTCCTCCAGACCCATCGCCCCCAGCAACCCCTGGGACTACAAGAACATCATCGAGAAGCTGCAGGTACGCCAGGCTACACATACTGTTATACGTGTGAAAACAAACCAAACAACAAGTACAAAGACGAGCAACACAAGACAGAGAACTCAAAATATGCCACAAATCTAAATTAGCCAGAAATAAATTGGCAAATTCTAAAACAATGAGATAATAGATTACATCCTTTAAAAAACAAAAGTGTTGTCTCATGTGAGGCATAAATAAAAGAAAGAAAATAATCAAATGGGATTAAGTACAATGGTGTTTGGCTTTTCTAACTATTTATTATTGTTATTAACACAATTTTAAAGTGTCACGTGATTTAAAATAACAAATACTCTCATCGAAGATTTTGGCAGTATTAACTTTTTTTGTGTGTGTGTGTGTCTGTCAATCAATAAATCAATCAGAGTTTATTTATGTTGCCCAATATCACAAATTCAACATTTATCTCAGGGGGATTTACAGTTGTACAGAATATGAATATGACACCCTCCATCCTTAGACCCTCACAAAGGTGAAACTCACAAAGAAACCGCACAGTTAATGGGGAAAGATGTAAGAAACCTCTGGAGAGCAACAGAGGAGGATCCCTCTCCCAGGACGCAATAGATGTCTTGTATACATTTAAAAGATAATACATTTATGTGTGTGTGTGTGTGTGTGTGTGTGTGTGTGTGTGTGTGTGTGTGTGTGTGTGTGTGTGTGTGTGTGTGTGTGTGTGTGTGTGTGTGTGTGTGTGTGTGTGTGTGTGTGTGTGTGTGTGTGTGTGTGTGTGTGTGTGTGTGTGTGTGTGTGTGTGTGTGTGTGTGTGTGTGTGTGTCAGGACATCATCAACACTCTGGAGGAGCGTCTGAAGCCTCTGGTGAACGCGGAGCTGTCGGTGCTCGTGGACGTCCTCCATCAGCCGGAGCTGCTGTTCCTGGAGGGGACGGACGCCCGGCAGCGCTGCGAGTCGGGGGGCTTCATCTCCAAGTAGGTGCAGCTCCTCTGAGTCCAGATATACTGGAGCACTGGTACACGGACAAAAGATGATGGGAAATCTATGTGTGTGTGTGTGTGTGTTTAGACTGATCCAGCACACCAAAGCGCTGATGAACGCCGAGGAGAAGCTGTGTATCAAAGTCCTGAGGACTCTGCAGGAGATGCTGATCCGCACTCTGGACTTTGATGAAAAGGTGAGTTAAGAAACTAACTCAGATTAAAGTAGGATTATTGCCATGACTTTATCAAAACAAAGGATTGCCAATGCAAATTGTGCATGGTGGAACAGTTCTTAAAATGCAAACAATAAACAACTATGCTAACAATTGTTTTATTCAACAGAAAGTGCTCTTTAAGTTAATTTGATGTCTTTAATTAAACAATCAGATTTTAAATTGCCTGTGAGCATGGAATATATTGATCTGATCAGTCAGGAAATCAAGAACCCTTTCTGTCGTGTTGTTCCAGGGAATTTCCCTGCGGAAGGTTTTGCTGCAGAACTACTTGTTTCCAAACAAGAAAAACACCCCGAAGAACGACCTCTCTGAACTTGGAGCTTCAGGTATAGTATCATTTTCCAGTTTTTCTATTAGTGTTTGGATGGTCTGGCCAGTCAGGTGTTAAGATATATTTTAATATTTACCCTATTCACCTGTAGCATCTCTTTATATATATGTGTCTCAGGTGTGGAGCAGGAGCGCGACTGGGCGGCGGTCGCTGCGGTTCAGTGTCGTCTGGACAGAGAAGGAGGAACCAAGCTCTTCACTGACCTGGTGATGAGCAGCAAGAACGACAAGATCTTCCAGGAGTGCATCCAGCTGGCCATCTGCCTGCTGGAGGGGGGGAACACAGAGATACAGGTACGTACAACAGCAATACATCTCCAGTGCAAACTATTACCTCATCATGCTGCCCCTCTACATATCACACAAACAGTACAGCTATAGACTACGATCTCAACATTACATCACTGTCCGCCCCCTCAGTACGCACGGAGCTTGGGAAAAAAGCCATATCATACTCTGCCCCCTCGACCTGGAACACACTTCAGCAGGAACTTAAGCTGACCAGTTTGATACCCATCACAGATTTTAAACTCATTTTAAAAAAGCTGGAGAAATCATCTGTGGGTGTTTGCACCTGCTATATCTGACTATATGAATTTTGAATGACTACTTTTTACGATGTTTTATGTTACCACGGAACAGGTCTCTCTTGAGAATGAGACCCTGTGTCTCAATGAGATTTTCACCTGTATAAATAAAGGCTAAATAAAATAAAAAATCATGATCCCTAGATATTACCCACACTTAAACTACCACTTCCACAGGATCAGCAGCGCACTAATAATGATTCAAAGCATGGAAGATTGACTCCATTACAAATATACAGAGTATGATAGTTTTGGATCATGTTTTTAAGGCCTACCAACGTGTTTGAAATATTTTAGAAAATATATTTTTTCAAACTCAGTTGCAGAATCAGATAAACTGGGAATACATTGTCGGGGAATTAAGGTAGTATTTTATATATAAACCTACATTTGTGTTAACTGACTCACTCAACTTAAATGTTCATCCACATTTTTTCAAAAAATATTTAGTACATTTGGTCTTATATAAGTGGATTTAAGTGATATCTTCATCAAACTCAAGTCTTAATTCTCTTTTTATCATGTTTTTCATTAAATGATGACACAGTTGATGCATTTCCCCCTTAACTTTATGTCTTTTACTTTGGGATTAACAAGCTACAGCAGTCTCAGATCAAATGGAGCTCTGTGAATGAGAACCCAGTGTTTAAACTCTCTTTGGTTCTCCTGCAGAACTCCTTCTACAAACTGATGATGGGCGACAACAAGTCAGAGAAGTTCTTCAAGGTTCTCCACGACCGGATGAAGGAGGCTCAGACGGACATTAAAGCCACGGTTTCTGTTAACGTTGGAGAGATGACGCACAAAGCCAACGAGAAGGAGCTGGAGACCGGTGAGAAACTTTATTACCCTGAGAAACCTGATGTTTGTTTTTTGGTTAATGTCATTTTCTCAATAATATGTCTTTCTATTATATGATGGTTTTATTTTAAAATCTGTTTTTTGTCTCTTTGCTTCAAGTATGTTAACCACTTATGTTCAAACACTTGAGATCAGTTTTATATTCTTGATCTTAATTTAAAAAGCTGTAATAGTTGGAAAGGAAAATTGTAATTTTACAAGAAAGAAGTAAGGTTATTCGATTATTAAGGAGTTTATTGGTAAATGATCAATATCGATGACCTGAGGAAGTTATTATATTAAAAATGACGACTTATTTTGGGTTTTAAAAAACGTACAACTTTTTCCCCCAATGTTTTGATCAAAAATATTTAACTTCACTTGAAGACACATTCCAGATGTTAACTTTTGGCTCAGCAGGCAGCTTTCTATTTTTAGCACACTTGTTCTCCAAGTCATTAGTCTAGTTCTATTTGCAAAAAAATCTGTGTTTTTGGACATTTTGCTAGTCAGTTCTGTCACTGAGGATGTTCCTGATAATGCTTATATTATCACAATCCTATTCAGTTAGTTTCACAGCAAACAACAGATAGATTTACAAAAATAACAGCATGATTGATGATTTAATGGAAACAAACTTGTCAACAAAATATTGAAGTAGAGATGGTGATAGGATCAAACGTAAGAGCAACGCCTATTAGGGCCAGGGTCGCAAAATGGGGGGTCTAATGGCCCCTTTTCAACTTCATAATTCATCTGCCCTTGCACAAACACCAAGCTGAAAACCAGTATAATAGGGGACCTTTAAGATCTAAATAAAAGCAGACCAATCAATATATATAAAAAACAGTCACTTCACCTTTTAAGCTGAACTTTGCTGCAGAGTTTTAGTCTCCTTTTATCTCTCTGAATCCAGTTGTTTGTCTAAGCAGTTTCCCCCTCTGTCCTCAGTGCTTCCCGTCGCAGTGGGTCACCCCATGCTGGCCCCAGGTCAGTCCATCGCCCCGGCGGTGTGCCCCCCCGCCCTGCCGGTCCCCGCTGCAGCGGAGCAGAGGGAGGTGGAGGCGGAGGTGGGCCCCGCCGTCACCATCATGAAGCCCATCCTCAGGTTCCTGCAGCTGCTGTGTGAGAACCACAACCAGGACCTGCAGGTGGGTTCCGCTGAACACACAATTCAATTCAATTCAAATGTATTTATATAAACCAATATCACAAAACACATTTGTCTCAGAGGGCTTCACAAATCAACAAACATGAATTGTAATGTAAAAACAAGAAACATATCTGAGAATATAGTAAAATGACAAGATGATAACAATAAATACTGAATACATACCAATAAACCAGGGTGGACCAAATCTATCTGAGTTAACCCAGAAATCTGAGTTTGATTTTCAGAACAGAACATTCAGTCTCATCTTGGTTTTCAGTATTTTAGCTTAGTTTAGAAAAACTATAATCCTAGTCTAGGCTAGTCCAGAGTTTAACAATACCTGACCCACATGTCTCAAACTCCCTAATTTGCAACTTTTACCTTGTTTTTTTTACCTGGACACAAATAGAATTGCAAAAACAGGCTTTTTACATTTTAATGTTCAGGATCGAAAAATGTCATGTTTTGTTTTCTTAACAATGCAAAAACAGCCTCTAGTTTTATTAAACTGATTAAAAATGAAGGCTTATGACAACCTCTCTTTCATTTTTATTTTGTGTTAGCGTGAAAAAAAAGTCTAAATGTTAAAGGAGATTTAAAGTGACTGTCATTCAGGAAATTGTCCCCGTCTGTAAACGTCTCATTAAAGTGAGATGCATTGTTATTGCAGATGAATGAGGCCTTATCAATCTCTTACTTGTTTTACTGAAATACTGCTGCAACACACAAACAGAGGCTGATCAGATAAGGAGAGAGTGATCTTGAATGTGTTTGCAGAACTTCCTGCGCTGCCAGAACAATAAGACCAACTACAACCTGGTGTGTGAGACCCTTCAGTTCCTGGACATCATGTGTGGAAGCACCACCGGGGGCCTGGGGCTGCTCGGGCTCTACATCAACGAATCAAACGTCCACCTGATCACTCAGACCCTGGAGACCCTCACTGAGTACTGCCAGGGCCCCTGCCAGGAGAACCAGGTACGCTCAGACATCACAGAGAACCTATCTTTTTAATAAGGCTTTTCATTTCATTAGGATCACTGTAGATGTTTTATCTTATTCTGTATCTATTTTAATATTGTTGTCATGGTTTCTGTAAAGCACTTTGGGCTGCTTTGTGCACGAAAGGTGCTATACAAATAAAGTGTATTATCACAGAGACGGTTATCAAGGCAGGTATACTCCCTGTGAACATGGACACTCAGGGTGTGTGTGTGTGTGTGTGTGTGTGTGTGTGTGTGTGTGTGTGTGTGTGTGTGTGTGTGTGTGTGTGTGTGTGTGTGTGTGTGTGTGTGTGTGTGTGTGTGTGTGTGTGTGTGTGTGTGTGTGTGTGTGTGTGTGTGTGTGTGTGTGTGTGTGTGTGTGTGTGTGTGTGTGTGTGTGTGTGTGTTGCAGACGTGCATCGTGACCCACGAGTCCAACGGCATCGACATCATCACGGCTCTGATCCTGAACGACATCAGTCCTCTGTGTCGGTACCGGATGGAGATGGTGCTCCAGCTGAAGGTGCGTTAGTTTACCTGTCCATGTGCACACTGTGTGTTTTCTGTCTCTGGTAGTGATGAACCTGCAGAGAATCATGAGCTGAGGCAAAAAGAAATCACTCTGATTGGCTGTTCAGATTAGCGAATCAGTGCATGAGAAGCGAAACGGAAGTGAAGAAGGCACACACAGACGGCTATTATTTTTCATTTTCCAGTACCGCACTAAACATGTTTTCGATTATAAGTCGTTATGTGAAACAGTATGTGAAACAGTCTGTGATGGACGAGAGTGAAAATGGAACGCACGCTATTTGTTGTTTGTATATATCACGCAGTCTGTCTTCCGGTTGTTGCCTCTTTTGAATTAAGAATACACACTACCGCCGCCTGCTGGTAAGGAGAGTTATTGCCACTCACGCATGCGCAGTGCGTACGTGCTACTTGGCCGTCGGCTGAAGTCTTTGCGGTGGGTTCCAGTGCGACTTTTTGGCCAAGACGCAGGAGACGTGAGACGACACAACAATCGGGTCCGTCGGGACGTGTTCTTTGGTGTCAGTTTGGTGTGTCAAGGCCTTTAGTTGATCTGGCCCACAACTTTATTCCTGGTTCACTCCCAACACTTTCACCATGTTTTTCCAAATGTTTTAATATGCTTGTCATTTTAACAATGCCATGTTAATGTAATCATTTATTGTTCCTTTACCTGGTGGTTCATATGTGACCTATACGAGGTCTGCACTTCATCCTGTCGTTTAACTGTTTAATTTCCCTGTTTCCAGGACAACGCCTCCAAGCTGCTGTTGGCTCTGATGGAGAGTCGCCATGACAGCGAGAATGCAGAGAGGATCCTGTTCAACCTCCGACCCCGAGAGCTGGTACCATTATTTACACTAACTTTATTTAAAGAAGATGTTACTGATCTGTGTGTAGAAAAAAAAAATGACTGTGTGTGTGTGTGTGTGTGTGTGTGTGTGTGTGTGTGTGTGTGTGTGTGTGTGTGTGTGTGTGTGTGTGTGTGCGTGTGTGTGCAGGTGGAGGTGATAAAGAAGGCCTACCATCAGGAGAGTGAGTATGAGGGTGAGGACGTCTCCCCCCGTGAGGTCGGACACAACATCTACATCCTGGCTCAGCAGGTGACTAAACACAAGCTCCTGATTGGCTGAATCCCACTCCTCTCAGTCTGTGGGTCATTACCCATGGAGTGGTTCAGGGATGACGTGTTTTAGTAGGTCGCCCCCGAAGTGGAAGTTAACATTGCAAAGGGGTCCCTTAACAAAAAGCAATGGCATTTTTCCATTCGATTTGGGAATATTGCAGAAAATAAGATCTTTGGCGACAAACACAGCACATCTTTTTTTTTTTTTTTACTATCAAAACAGTTCAGGTTTAGCGTGCTCTGACCGATTCATGCTGTGTTTGAAGTAATATCCGTTCCAGCAAGCAAGTGTTTTCCACTATATTTATAATAATAATTATAAACTTTATTTAAGAGGCTTTAAAACTGTTACCAAGTGCTTTCGCATAAAAACAGGAACACATTTAATACATAGAAATAATGAAAAAATTGTAAAACATAAATTAAATTCAATAAAAGCAATTCTAAAAAAGTGTGTCTGAGGTATGACATATGCTCCTCTTATCTTCTCAGCTGGAGGAAAAGAAACAGCATTTGTAATTCTCAAATTTCTCTCTCTTGTTGTTTGTTTGTGTGTTTGTTTGTTTGTGTGTTTGTGTGTTTGCAGCTGGCGAGACACAACAAGATGCTGCAGAACCTCCTGAAACCTCAGAAGAACAGCAAAGAGGGCGAGGAGGGGATCTCCTCCATGGTAAACCCTCACACTTCTACATCTGCAGTGATGATGCAGTACTAATACTCACTTTATAATACTCTTTGTAAACGCAGCTGCACGTCTTCTGACTGGCCACAAAAAGCGTGACCACATCACCCCAATTCTGGCCTCACTACACTGGCTTCCAGTTCGGTTCAGAATTGATTTTAAACTCCTTTTATTTGTTTTTAAAGCACTAAATGGGCTGGCTCCGGGCTATATAGCTGAACTCCTCCAGCGCTACACCCCAGCCAGAGCTTTAAGGTCTGCTGACCAGCTGTTGCTGGTAGTGCCCAAGACCAGGCTTAAAACCCGAGGGCACCGAGCCTTCGCAGCAGCTGGCCCTAGGCTCTGGAACACTCTGCCCCTCCATGTGAGGTCGGCCCAGACCCTAGGGGTTTTTAAATCAACACTTAAAACTCACTTCTTCTCTCTGGCCTTCTAGTCAGAGCGGAGCACGACTCCTGACTTTTCCCTGTCTTTTTGTTTTTTATATTTCTGTTGTAAATTATTGTCTTTTATTGTGATTGTAGTAAAGTGTTTTTATTACATGTACAGCACTTTGGCTCGACCAAAAATCGCTTTTAAATGTGCTTTATAAATAAAACTTGATTTGATTTGATTTGATTTTGTGTTTCCTGTCTGCAGCTCAACCTGAACAACCGTCCTCTGTCCCAGATGTTGAAGTCCACCGCTCCAGCTGTTGTGGTGGAGCAGGATCCGCTGGAGTACTACGACCTGCTCACCTCACAGATAGAGGTACCGTAAGATAAAATAAAATAAGATAAGATCAACCTTTATTAATCCATGTTGGGAAATGCAGGAGTCAGAGCAGCAACAGCAATAAGAGAGAAACCGTATTGCTGTCAGGACAGGTGAGAGGTTGCATACGTTTAGAAAATAAATAATAATTATCATTATAAATAAAAATAACAAGAATAGGAGTAGGTAGAACTCACATTATTTAAGTTGACTTCTAAAAGAATATGAATGAAGGTAATTATGCATATGAATAAATATATTTATAAATAGATATCTACCTGCAAGTGCCAACAACTAATACTAATTAAAGTAATAGAAGACGGATAAAGTCCAATCAAAAGGGGGTGTCGATAATTAAAGGCAAGGAAAACAAATTACAACTATTTTTTCAGTTTCAGCTGTCGTTTAAAATATCCATGAGTTTGCCTCTAATATTTCCAGGCAGGTTGTTATAGAGTTTAGGAGAGTAGTGGATGAAACCTGCTTCAGCCATTTCATTTTCAGGGACTATTTAAGAAGCCTTCAGCTCGTCCTGTTGATGCTCTGTATATATAATAATATAACGTAATTATGTCCTCCGCTCCAGATCGTCCGTGACGACCGCAGCATGGAGCAGATCGTGTTCCCGGTCCATCCCATCTGTGAGTTTCTGACCGAGGAGTCAAAGATCCGAGTGTTCAACACCACGGAGCAGGACGAGCAGGGGTCAAAGGTCACAAACTTCTTCGAACAAACCTCCTTCCTGCACGGAGAGATGGAGTGGCAGAAGAAGCTGAGGAGTGAGTACACACACCCACACACACACACACACACACACACACACACACACACACACACACACACACACACACACACACACACACACACACACACACCAGCACACCACACACACACAGCACCACACACAACACAACACACACACACACACACACACACACACATTACATTTGGGGTTTAACTTGATACAGAGTAGTTCTACACTATTGTATACTATACTAGCCATTTCATCCATCTATTTTCCCTGATTTTACATGTGTGTCTGTGTGTGTGTTTGTGGTGTTGTGTGTGTGTGTGTGTGTGTGTGTGTGTGTGTGTGTGTGTGTGTGTGGTGGTGTGTGTGTGTGTGTTGTGTGTGTGTGTGTGTGTGTGTGTGTGTGTGTGTGTGTGTGTTGTGTGTGTGTGTGTGTGTTTGTGTGTGTGTGTTGTCTCAGTCATGCCGGTGTTGTCCTGGTTCTCCGGGCGGATGTCTCTGTGGGGAACTATCTCCTTCAACCTCGCCGTCTTCATCAACCTCATCATCGCTTTCTTCTACCCCTACGCCTCAGGACAAGGTACTTTAGTGCAAATACTAGTAGTAGTTCTATAAGTCATACTGCAAATTACATTACTATTGCTGTCAAAAGTACTGCTACTTCTTTAAGGATGTATTCACAAAATAAATATCATATCAATAATAATCAGATATGTTTGTCCTGTGAGCAGCAGACGTTTTTTTTATTACATTTTTGACTTAAAGGTCCCATGTCATGGCCATTTCTACTGATCATAATTCCATTGTTGAGGTCTACTAGAATAGATTTACATTGTTCAATGTTCCAAACTCACATTGGTTTCTCATACAGCATCTCTGTATAGTATGTGTATTCACTCTCTGTCCTAAACGGCTTGTTGGAGCTCCTGCCCCCCCTCCCTGTGAGCCCACTGTGCTCTGATTGGTCAGCTCGCCCACTCTGTTCTGATAAGTCCACCACTGTTACAGCGGAACATCAGTGATTATGTGTTACAATGGCGTTTGTTAGCAACCAGAAAATGACACCAGTAATGACAAACAGATGAGAATACTGCGTGGGGTCTGGGTGCCGTGTTGGCGGGACGTTGCGGGGCTCGCTGCTCCGCACTTTGAGGCTCGAGGAGCGGACAGTGTGAGCTGTATTACTGGTGTCGTTTCCTGGTTGCTGCGTGGGGTCTGCGAGACAGCGAGACACAGCGGAACTCAGCCTGAGCACACACACACACTCACAGCCTGAGCTCCGAGTGTGTGTGTACGGAGCTCCGCGCAGCACCGCAGCTGAGAAAAGATAAGGCTGAGTGAGTGTGTGTGTGTGCGGAGCTGCACAGCGTTACGTCACTATGACCAGAAAGAAAAAAATGGAAAAAGAAAAATCTCCAAGGAAGCGTTCTGGGGCAGCATACACAGGTCTTTTCTGTGTTAGAGTTTTACTCGCTACAGGGTGTACTTTGAGGGTTTGTGACTTTGCAGACCGTTTACAGTACATGCAGAAAAAGCTACATAACACACAAGGGGACGGGTAATAACCAGAAAAGCATGACATGGGACCTTTAATATATAATAATAATACACTTTATTTATAAAGCACCTTTCATGTTTGACACAGCCCAAAGTGCTTTACAGAGTATGATAAAAATTATGACAATAACAAATATTACAATTAAAATATGTAAAAAAAAGGTTTGGTCTTTCATTTACTTTAAAAAATTCCAATTGAGGTGGCCATTCTAAGATCAAATGGGATCCACAGTTTGGGGCGATATAAAAACAGAAAGCAGCCTCTCCAGTTTTCTTGTAATGCACTCTAGGTACTTCTAAAAGTGAAACATTGGAGGATCTAAGTGTCCTTGCTGGTTGATCAAATGAGAGACAGTCACTTAAATATGTTGGGACAAGGTTATGTAAAGCCTTGTAAATCATTAAAAGCACTTCTGAAGGACACCGGCAATCCCAGATATATGACTGAAACATCTTGTATGCAAGGTGTCTCTTAGTAATCGTCTTCTCCCCCCTCCCTCTCCTCCCTTCCTCCCCTCCCTCCCTCTCCTCCCTCAGTGGGGGCGATCGACGACAACCTGCTGCTCATGCTGTTCTGGATCCTCACCGGGCTCTCCGTGCTGTGCTTGTTCTTCCAGCGCTACGGCCTGCAGCCCCTCACCATCGCTCTGATCCTCAGGTCCATCTACCACGTGGGCATCGGAAACACCCTCATACTGCTGGGCTCTCTCAACGTGAGCAGCACTACATTACCCATAATCCACCTGGGCAGACACTTCAAGGATTCAAGGCTTTTATTGTCATTTGTACATAGCTACAGTGTAGTTATGACAATGGAAATCTTAGGTCACAGGCTCCTCCAACAGAGCAACACAATAAAACAGATAATAGTGCAAGTAAATAAAATAGAATAGAATATAGTAGAAATAGTGCAGAATAGTCTATATGCAAGTAATTGGAATATTGATATATATAAGTTGCAAACAGATGAATGTTATGGATGTTCTTTCAAAAGTCCAGGTGTTTAACTCATACTCTTTTTAATTATATGATATTGTCAATCATAGTTTTTTTGCTGGAGACATTATATTAAAGAGTCCATTTTGAACTTCTTTTATCAGTTTAGTGAATTAAAACCCTTGAATTCTGAATAACTCAAATAAAAAAATGAAAATTAATTCAAATCAATTGCATGTAATAGAAATTAGTAAATACAATTACATACGTAAAAGTAAATATGAGTGTATATATTTAAAGGTCAATTATTTCTCCCCCACTCCCATCACATTTCCTGTTTTTTTATTATTATTTACAATCTTTAATTAATTAAAAAAGCCATTCAATTATATAAAAATGTCCAAGATTCATCTTTTTAAACTCTTAAAAATGCCAAGACATGGACCGTAGGATTTTAAGGATTTTTTTTTTTTTTAATAACTAATGATCTTCTTTATTGTGTTGTTAAACTGCCCTGTGTGTCTGTTCCCCTCCAGCTGATCAATAAGGTGGTGTTTGTGGTGAGTTTTGTGGGAAACAACGGGACGTTTATTATGGGATACAAAGCCATGGTGATGGACGTGGAGTTCATTTACCACCTGGCCTACGTCCTCACCTCCACGCTGGGACTGTTCGTCCACGAGCTCTTCTACAGCATCCTGGTAAACAAAACATTTAATAACTTATACCCCAAAACAAATCTGAATGTATTAATTAATTTTTTATTATTTACTTGATATAACAGTGAAGTCATATATTTTTGTTTATAGAGAGTAAAATATTTGTACTTTACCTGTGTGCAGAAGTTTGTACATCTTCTTTAATATGGAGTGCTTACAAGTTAATAACAAATAGTTTTCAAACAATGCATTGAGTCATAAAATATATAATATTATCTCATAAAATATGTATGATTTTAGAATTGACCACAGTATATAAGTAGTCAAAACAATGGATTAGAGGTATTCTATTGATCCAGAAGTAAAGAAATATAGATATTAAATATAGAAAAAAATTGTGAAAGTATATTTAGAGAACACAATATAAGGATGCACAGAATAAGTTAGAATACACTATAATAAAGCATTACTAAATAAACAGACTCTCTGAATGATTTTCTTGTGTGCAGCTGTTTGACCTGATCTACCGGGAGGAGACTCTGTTCAACGTGATAAAGAGCGTGACTCGTAACGGGCGCTCCATCCTGCTGACGGCGCTGCTCGCCCTCATCCTCGTCTACCTCTTCTCCATCGTGGGCTTCCTCTGCCTGAAGGACGACTTCATCATGGAGGTCGACCCGCTGCTGCACCTCGCAGGTAACTTCTAATATACATCATTATTAGACGCAGATTTAATATCTTCGCAGATTCAGTGTCTCTTTAAACAACAACAGGGGCATCGACTATAGCTAAATCTAATCTCAAAGCAGTGATGTTAATTTGACCTCCCATTAGATTAGTATTCAAGACATTGTTTTACATTTAATACCTGCTAATTGATGGACTAAAATATAAATATTTCATATAAATGTAGTCAATGGACCTTTCTCAAATTCACAGCACAAATTGACCTTTAAATATTACATTTCTGGATTATTATAAGAAATGTAGGGATTTAAAACTGAAATACAGATTATTAAACACTAAGAAACTCTCAATGAACAATATAAACTGTTATCTGTTCATCAGAGCTCTGAAACTCTGCTCACTACTGAAGACGGCTGGTTTTAAAGTCCTATATCATTAACTGTGTGTGTGTGTGTGTGTGTGTGTGTGTGTGTGTGTGTGTGTGTGTGTGTGTGTGTGTGTGTGTGTGTGTGTGTGTGTGTGTGTGTGTGTGTGTGTGTGTGTGTGTGTGGTGTGTGTGTGTGTGTGTGTGTGTGTGTGTGTGTGTGTGTGTGTGTGTGTGTGTGTGTGTGTGTGTGTGTGTGTGTGTAGCTCCTCAGCAGAACGAAGCCTCTCAGGACTTCATAAAGTCGTGCTCTGCAGACGGAGTCAGCTGCACCACGGAGACCGAAGCTCTCACCGTCACTGAGGAGGAAGGTGAGAGTCAGTCATATCACAGAGTTAATGTACGTTACTGATATAAACTCTGATCTAATATCCCGTGACTGTGTGTGTTCAGAGGCGCCGACCTCGGAGCGGGCGTGCGACACTCTGCTGATGTGCATCGTCACCGTGTTGAACCACGGCCTGAGGAACGGAGGAGGAGTCGGAGACGTTCTCAGGAAACCATCCAAGAACGTAAAGAAAACATTTTTACTTTATCCATCAGAATGATCTACTTTGAGTACTTCTAATTTATGCTTATACAGTACTTAACTTCATTAACTTTACAGAACCACTTTTTAATAAGGCACACTTAATTTTGTAACTCATTATTGAGAAATACAAAAGTAAAAGTTTTCTCATTCATCTGTAATTTGAAGTGTTTACAGGGAATAATAAAGCATTTTAAAAACATGTTATCAAGTGTCCTTCTGAAGCAGCACGCACAACCTACATGTAGTGCTAATAATCGGAAAATAACTGATCTTTAACATATTTATAAAAATAATTGCCTTTTATGATGAGCTCATAACATTTTTTAAGGGTTTTAGACCAATCCAAGGTATATTTAACTTACACAAGACACAATTCTTGATCAGAAATATTTTGGACTAAATTGAACTGATAATGTTTGAAATAGAGTTTTTTTTACACTCTGGTTTATAGAACCTTAGCTATTGTGAAATAAGCTTTAAAACATCTTTAAACATGTGTGTGTGTAGGAGCCGTTGTTTCCGGCCCGGGTGGTGTTCGACCTGCTCTTCTACTTCATCGTCATCATCATCGTCCTCAACTTGATCTTCGGAGTGATCATCGACACGTTCGCCGACCTGAGGAGTGAGAAGCAGAAGAAAGAGGAGATCCTGAAGACCACCTGCTTCATCTGCGGTGGGTACCATTAAACTCACAGTGACACGTTATTATTAGGGTCTGAGACCAGAGGTTGCGAAGCGAGCGATAACCATGCAAAACCCACACAAAACAGGGAAAACGAGCACCCTAATGGCGCGTTTCCACTACACGGCCTCGCTCGGCCTCGCTCGGTATGGCTAGGCCTCGTTAGGACTGGCTCACTTTATGGCGCATTTCCATTACAGTTTAGGAACTGGGGTAGTATCTAAAGTAACGCAGTGTAGGCGGAGCCGTGACGTCATCTTCAATGAGAACCCCAGAAAAACAACACAGCCGTTAGCTGTTAGCACTCAGAGCTCACAGCTCCTCATATATGTTCAGAAACTAGACAAAAGTTAAACAAGTACAAACCACAGACTGCCTGTGTCATGGCGAATACAGTCGCTGCTTTATTTATGTCTGTATAGGCCGTTGTTGTGAGTGTGGACGGTCGGAGCATATACTGCGTTAGCTTAGCCAATCTCCATTTAGAACACACGCATTTTAAAAGGTTTTTCGCCTGCCGTCTGTCTGCAGACTTGTCAAAGCATTAATTCATGGTTTTTACTAACCGGTATCAGTATGTTGTTACTTCGGCATCATTTTGAAACGTGTATTACAATTAAATCACGGTCAAATATGTCCATCTTGTTGTAGTTGTTGCCCCCTTGCCAGCGATCCTCTCTCTAGTTTAGCATACTCAGCCCGACTCAGCCTCGTTGTCTCTGGCCCTAGACCCACGATTTTATGAGGCCAGAAAAACTGTGAATTAGGACCCGCCGGCCGGTACTAGGCCAAGTGGAAACGCAACCAAAGATGGGCCGCTGACGTCACAGCCCTCTTAAACCGTGCTCCGCGCTGTAGTGGAAACGCGCCATAAATGGGGGCCTAAATCATTCGCCCACGTCACTGTAGCCGAAGCATTATTGATATTGGAAGGATTATTAGGGTCTGAGACCAGAGGTCGGCGAAGACCCTATTGTAATCGCTCGCGCAGCAAATCATGACGGCAGATAGTCCGCGCGAGCCCAGTCACGTGGGCGCAGCGAGTTGCAGCCCACGTGACTGCAACTCGCATGATTGATATCCGTAGGATCAATTTAATCGCTCGTGAAACTCGAAACTCGCTACGCATATCTAGGGTGCGGAGACAAACAAAAAAAACTCTTGGAGGGGTATAAAAAAACGTACAGGAAGTCGGCCATTTTGAATTTGGCGTTGGAAAAACGCGATTGATCTTTATCCGATAGACTCCAAATTCGTCGGGTAGCGTCTCGAGACATTGGCGACAAAACGATATCACTAAACTTTTCTTTTTTGCGCACGGCTTAGCCGTGATTTGGCGCCGAATTTTGCGTTAGCTCGATGCTAGTCGATCCTTCGCCATGGAACACGATGATGTCGTAACTCCTATGAAAATGGTCAAAACAGCACCAGATTTCTGATGATGGCTAATGGTCCGGCCCTCAACAGCTTTATGTCAATTATGGGGTGTCATCATATGCCGTTGCCTTGGCGACAGATCCCTCGCCATGAAACACAGTGTTGTCGTAACTCAATGGAAAATCGTCCAAACGGCACCAGACTTCAGATGATGGTTAATGGTCCGGCCCTAAACAGCTCTATGTCAATTATGGGGTTTCATCTTATGCCGTTTCCATGGCAACGCATCCCTCGCCGTTAAGCACGATATTGCTATAACTCCTGTGTAAATGGTCAAAAAGTATTCAAACTTCACATGTGTGCTAGCGGTACAGCCCTAAAGACATATATGTGTCAATTTTGAGATTTCGTCGAATGCCGTTGCCATGGTAACACAATGCTCGCCATGAAACACGGTTTTCTCATAACTCTATTGAACATGCTCCAAACGGCCCAAAACTTCACAGGTTTCATAATGATGGAGCCCTCAACACATCTAGGCATATTATGTGGTGTCATCAAATGCCGTTGCCATGGCGACAGATCACTCGCCATCAAACACAATGTTTATGATACTGCTGTAACTCCTATGTACGTTGTCCGATCGGCCTGAAACTTCCCACGTTTGACAACGGCCGAGTCCTCGAGACACCTACGTGACACGTCGACGTGCGGACAACAGCCTGCGGAGCGTCGAAGACCCGCTCAACGCTGCTTGCAGCTTTAATTAAAGTTTTTCTTATCAAAAAGATGCAGGAGATTTGACCATCAGTTTGTGTGTGTTCCAGGTTTGGAGAGAGATAAGTTTGACAATAAGACGGTGTCGTTTGAAGAGCACATCAAACTGGAGCACAACATCTGGAACTACCTGTACTTCATCGTGCTGGTGCGCGAGAAGAACAAGACAGACTACACCGGGCCGGAGAGCTACGTGGCTCACATGATCAAAGTAAAACATCTCAGCACAATCTCAAACACTGGAGATACACATAAACACTGACATCATCTGAAGCCACATCTTCCTCTGTGTGGAGGACATTCTTAAGAGAAACTTATAAATGGTTCATGAACAAAGTTTGTCTTTTGTTATATTTAATAAAGTAATAAAGAAAGTCAATATACAAGTGAAATTGATCTCAAATGCAGGAACAGAGCTACTTCATCCTCAGGGGATAGAGAAGTTCTGCTTACAGTCTATATATTCATGAAAGGAAACAGCCAACTGGTCCAACATCCTATCATTAGACCATAAAACCCCCTCGTCCTTAACATTTGCATATCCCCCTTTACACTTCCTCCTGAAATGTAAAACCTTAAAGGTCACCTATTATGCAAAATCCACTTTTTCATGTCTTTTATAACATGTGGAAAGAGATTCTGAAAGTTTCAGGAACAAAGATTCTCTCTCTTTTTGTCCTGATCCATTTATATAAAAACCTGTCTGAAGATGAGCTGATCAGATTTTGGCCACTTTATGATGTCATAACGATGTTTTGGCTTGTGTAACCATTAGCCAATCGCCAACCAAGGTAAGCCCCCCCCCCCCCCCCCTTATCACCTGAATCTCCTCCTTGAGCACGATTGTGTTCTTTTTAACCAAATATCTCTCAGAGGGGCGTGGGGAGGGGCTCCTTATTTTCATCTAAAGTAACAGACAGAGAATCAGCACTTTTGAAACAGGGCTGAAACAGAGGGGATTATGGGATGCTGCAATGATCTGTTTGGTGTTTCCAGCCAAACACTTCAGAGACATGTTTGTATATATCTGAGACCTATAATATATTGATGAAAAACAGTATAATAGGGGACCTTTAAATGATGATATGATAATGTGCCCCTCCAGAACAACAACCTGGACTGGTTCCCCCGGATGCAGGCCATGTCTCTGGTGGTGACGGACGGGGACGGGGAGCAGAACGAGATGAGGATGCTGCAGGACAAACTGGTCTCCACCATGAAGGTGGTGCTGACCCTCACCCAGCAGCTGATGGAGCTCAAAGAGCAGGTATACACACACACACACACACACACACACACACACACACACACACACACATACACACACACACACACACATACACACTCACACACACACACGTTAATGCTTCACCTAGAAATACGGCTTGGACGAGCCTGCGATTTAAGTGCCAACTATACTAGGACTTTTATTCATATTTTTTGACATCCTACTTTTAATGATGATTTTGAAATATAAAATGACTGTTTTCCGCATTTTTCAAAATACTTTATGTTTTGACATTTGACATTTTACTTTTTTGATTATACTAGGAATGATTGAATTATATCTTGGACATACTGTACTTTGACTTTAAAAAAATGCATTCTACATACTATAGTTTAGCTATTTTGGACATGTATACTATGAATTTATTCACGCAATTTTTTCGAAATATCGCAATGTAACTTTAATTATGATTTTTCGACATGCAATACTATGATGTCTTTTAAGATATTTTTTATTTCATACTGTATCGTTTTCTTTAATCGTATCATCAACAATAGCCGCGTTCACACCGGAGTACTTTTCACCGTACTTTTCGCGTTTAGTTCTGTTAGTACCCCTTATGTCGCGTTCACACCAAAAAGAGCACTTAATCTCGGGAATTTTTACCCCCATTTTTAGTGCCTGCTGAGAGATGGTACTTTCCTGGGGGGAAAAAGTGCCCCAGTTCTGATTGGCTGGGCGAATTGCAAACCACGCCCCGTACAACTCTGAAATGTTTTGTAGAGCCGCCATTTTATTATCCTGGCATTAGCATTATTAGCATTAGCATTCGCCCAGTGCACAAACGCAGAGAGACTAACTTATGGCAACACAAAATAAAACATGGGAGCGGTGGAGATGAGGAGGTGTCGGCGTTCTGGCGATTTACTCGGAAGGCTTCAGTAGAAGCTGCTGGGAGTCCCAGCAGCTTCTACTGAAGCCAGTCCCCAGCTCCGGGGACTTCCGGCCAGGGACTCCGGGTGGCAGTATACACCGTGAAGTGGTTTGCGGCCTGCCAATAAACCCAAAGCAGAAGAAGACGAAGTGACGTCAGCGGCTCATTTGCGTAATCTTCCCTCAGGGAACTTATTCCGGTGTGAACGCGATCTATACTAAATGCCCTGGGGTTATAAGTGCCGGGGCACTGAGTGCTGGCACTAAATACGGCAAAGTACTTGGTGTGAACGCGCCTCATTTTTTACCTACTATATCAAGAATGTCTTCACATTTTATATCACGTTTTTTTAATGGAATACTCTACTAAACATTTATTATATTTATATGACAAGCTGTACATAGGAATGTGTATATTGAACATTTGAAGACTAAACCATGTCTTTTTATTTGATATTATGATATTAAATATTTAATGACATACTATGCTATTACAATTTTAAGACAAGTGAACATCAAAATACTTTTTGATTGCGTCTCACAGTAAATACAAATCCGCCACAGACCATGTTATTGTATAATCCTCTGACTGACTGTTTCATAAAGCTTCGGACGGCAGCTTTAACAGAGTTTTGTTTGCAAACCAAGGACGTTTTTTCACTGTGTTCTCTTACTGATGTTAAAACAAACCCACTCACTTTGTCTCCTGTCCCTGCAGATGACGGAGCAGAGGAAAAGGAGGCAGAGGATGGGATTTGTTGACGTTCAGGGAGGAGGGAGCGCTCCCAGCGCCGCGGGGGGGAACCACCAGATCTACAAATCATAAAGAGAGACGATGATCTGAAACACAACATATCTGAGAGCCAAACAGCTGGACTGTCCTGCACATGGTTATCATAAAGAGAACACTAGAGAGTAGCTGTACAACTGATATGTATTTCACTAAAAGCACATTTTTTGTTAGCTTTTATTTTAAGAATCTGCAGTCCGTGAACAGACAGAAGACTTGCTCTCAGTTTAATGTATCTTTTGGTTCAGTTAGATATGAAAAGCAAAACAGACCTATGCATGTACAATATAGACGTATCTTTTAGACAAAGGACATGAGAATAAGTGACGGTTTTCTGTAGCTCAACCTGGAAGTTTCGGATACTCACAACAAATTTTTTTTATATAATCGCCAAAAATTAGTGCTATTATTGACCCAAATAATCCAACCTACATTTGAAGTATTAACCTAAATGTATGGTTTATAAAAATACTAAAGACTATTTAAATAATGTGGGATTGTGGAAAGGGAATCGAAGGATCAAAGACTTCCTGGTTGGACAACTAGAAGTTATAAAATATAAAGAAATATGATAATGTATGTGTGTAAATGGTATCAACTCGCTAGGAAAATAATCAGAGACCTACCTGCAGCATTTAGTAATATCAGTAATATCTTTCTGTGAATGTAAAGTGAGTTAAAGTTCAAGTGAGTTGTGTGTTCTTTATTGTAAATCTGGGGAAATTCTTGTTTTTTTTAGTAGTATATATTATTAATATTATTATGGTTTCATAGTGGCGTGTGGTGCAGTGGGTTGTGCGTTGGTGTTTGGATCAGGGGGTCACAGGTTCAAACCCCACTGCAGTCAGCATGTCGTTGTGTCCCTGAGACATTTCACCCCGAATTGCTCCTGTGGGGATTGTCCACAGTATTGAGTATATTAGTCGCTTGGGATAAAAGTGTCTAACAAGTAATGTATGTATGTAATAGTGATATTTATGTTTGTTTTTAACACTGTAACTAGCTCAGTACAGACACTGGATTTTAAATGAGCTGCTTTTAGCAAACAGACGGGTACAGAGATTGGGAGAAGGAAGAACATGTCTTCAGAAAATAAAATATTTACTATGAAGAACAAAATACATGTTTATTTGCTGTGTGGTTTGATGCATACACTTTAATAATTAAAAGGTAAGTATTTACATATATATCTAATATACAAACAGTGTGGTGATTATATACCTTCTTAAAGTACACACTTCGACATACAATACTATGACGTTTTTCATGATATTTTCAACATGTGACTATTTTTTATATATTTTCGACTTACTATCTTGTTATTTTTCATTACAACACTGACATTTTTCATGATATTTTTTTGACATACCATAATGTGACTTTTTTCATATTTGTTGACATACTATACTACGACATTTCTTCAAATTGTTCAACATATATATATGTGCTTTGTCTATAAATAGGGCATTTGTTCTCAGCTCACCCCAAGTGTCTGTGTGTGTGTGTGTGTGTGTGTGTGTGTGTGTGTGTGTGTGTGTGTGTGTGTGTGTGTGTGTGTGTGTGTGTGTGTGTGGCAGAGCTTCAGTAGGATTGTGGAGCTTTGCTGTGGAGCCTCAGAGGAATGCAGATGATTCTCTGTCGCTGCAGCAGCTGCTCTCTCAGCTTCAGTAAATCACACACACAGAGGTGCTTTGTCAGAACAGCCCAATAAGGTATCAGAAGGATCCACTCACTGTTTAGATAAGCTTTTTTTTTTACACACATGTCACTCACTGTCAGCCTTTGTTATGGTTTCTGTTGCTGCCTCCTAGTCCTGAGTAGTGGTACATCCTATACTAATAACAATAATGCATCACAATCACAGGTAGTGAACTCTGGCGTTAAGGGAAGGGAATTCTGTTGATCTGCATATCAGACAGCTGTTAGGAGGAACAGCCCAACATGCTGACAGACACACAGATCTGACATATCATCACCTTATTAAGAAGTTATGTCCCCGTAATTAATCATCCAGCAGTCACAACACATTATCCCATTGTATTAGCTATATGGAGCTAAAACAAAGTAAAGCTAATTCATGTTTCATATCTGGTTAGGTTTGTTACGGTTCTTTATGACGCATCAAAATGTAAGCGATATTACAGTAACTTCTTCAAATAAACTTTAAAGCGGTGAAATTACACTGAAGAACCTCAAGTAGTTTCATACATTTCCAATTGTGAAGAACCAAATGTACTACTCTGTACATTTGGAAATTGCTGTTTGTCTGTCTGTACTATTTGCAACAAATACAAAAAGGACAAATTCAGGTAGTTCATTTAGGATATCACGGTAAGACAAATATCTAATTCTTGATTCTATAACATGTTAATATAAGTATTAAAAGAAAAATGTATCAGCTATAAGGTTTTGAAATGAATGTCCTATGAATATATTTGTATAAATAATATAAACACACACATTTAATATGTTTTTTTTAATAACCTAGATAAACAAATGTTCACGGTACGATATCTGTCTCCTTTCATACCGTGTTATTCCGCAATATCTAAACACTACAATATCGGTATACTGTTACAAACCTGCTGTGTGTATTATGAACACTTTGAGTGTGTGTGTGTGTGTGTGTGTGTGTGTGTGTGTGTGTGTGTGTGTGTGTGTGTGTGTGTGTGTGTGTCTTTATATGTCCACAGTGTCATTCTAGGTGACTGCAGGGGATGGAGGGGACCAGCTCATGTTAAACTAAAATAAGTGTATAGCTTATTGTCCTGGGACACTCTGGAATGTGTGTGTGGGTGTGTGTGTGTGTGTGTGAGTGTGTGTGTGTGTGTGTGTGTGTGTGTGTGTGTGTGTGTGTGTGTGTGTGTGTGTGTGTGTGTGTGTGTGTGTGTGTGTGTGTGTGTGTGTGTGTGTGTGTGTGTGTGTGTGTAGCTGGTAAGACAGGTGTGTGAGTGTGTGTGTGTGTGTGTAGCTGGTAAGACAGGTGTGTGAGTGTGTGATCATGCTCATATCAAATCAAATCAAAGTTTATTTATAAAGCATATTTATAAAGCACATTTAAAAGCGATTTTTGGTCGGGCCAAAGTGCTGTACATGTAATAAATACTACAATCACATAAAAACACATTACTACAATCACAATAAAAGACAATAAATTGCAACAGATATATAAAAAACACAGGGAAAAGTCAGGAGTCGTGCTCCGCTCTGACTAGAAGGCCAGGGAGAAGAAGTGTGTTTTAAGAGTAGATTTAAAAACCCCTAGGGTCTGGGCCGACCTCACATATGTGTTGGGTTTATGCGGTAGTATATTGGTATTAACAATGTGCAGAAGCAGTGTCGTTAAAAAGTGTTTTAAAAAAGTTGTTTGTATTAATATTCTTTATTACAACTATCTCCAATGACTTATTCTTCTCCGTATCCTCTGTTTAAAATAAATGAGAATTCAAATCCACAAAGGCCAGTGTGATTAATAATAGATCCACTTGAAGACCAATCAGATGCAATCACACTGCACAGAACTACATTTGTTAGAAAGGATTATACAACAATTATCTTACGCTCCATATCCACAATCAAAAGGTCAAAAGTCAAATTAAAATGCTCATGTTACAAAGTCATCTTCCAGGAATCTGTACATCTCACGATTGGCCAACACAATGCTCTATTAGATAGAGACAAAGCCTTCAAATTGACTGTACTGGTCTCACTGGTATAAATGAGGACAGCTGAGGACAGATGGGGTCATGTGCAGCATAGCAGCTATTATTTAAATACATATATATAAATTACTTTCAAATCACGTGAACAACATCGCAAAAAAGTAGATTTGCCTTGTTAATCCAGTGTATTATTAATGCTACTTTCAAAATAAAACAGCATCATTTTCTTAAAAATATAATACAAATTGAAAAAACACTAAAATCCTACTTCTACTTTTTTTTTTTTTAAATTGCAATTGTAAAATATCAAGACTTTTCAACTTGAAAAAGTAGAATTTTCATTAAAATATTCATACAATTTATCCAATAAAAAGAATTGTTTGTCTTAATCTTCACATAACATGGAAGCTATTGAAAATACTCAAGACTCTTCAAGATAAAACAGCTGAATGTTCGTTAAAATGGTTATACAAAATAAAGAAAACACTCAATGAAACACTAAAATCCTTGCGTATTTAATGACTGTTGACCAGTAAATACAAAAAAACACAAACCTTAAGTATAAAAGTTATTGACCATATTAAGCAGAAAATACAGACATCAGTTTTCACGCCCGGCGACGTTTACTGGGCCAAAGGTCACATTTTATATTGAAATTTTGGTTGTGACTGGTGTGTGCATGAGTCATTGTTCATACAGTGTTTATGTGTTAACTGCAGGTCTACAGGGTATTATTACGAGGGTGGGAGTCGGTATTTAGGCTTAAAGCAAAGTTGTCCTGGATTAGAGAGAATCAACTTGATAGACAACTGCTGAAGGAGGGATAGAGGGAGGGGAAGAGGGAGAGAAATGGAGAAGAGGTGAGATAAGGGGAGAGAGAGAGAGAGAGAGAGAGAGTATAGTAGGTACAGAAGGAAAGGGAGATATGGAGAAAAGGTTGTTGGGTCAGATAAAGTCAAAGTCATTTTAAATTTCCACTGCATTTGAAAAAATCCAGTTGCAAAGAAGTCTATGAAAAAATGACTGTACTTCTGGCAAAAAAGAGATGGACGAGAAGAGAGACTGAAGAAGAGATGAGAGAAAATAAACACTATAACGTTATTTAGTGAGACAAAGTAAATGTAATATCCACACAATTGGAAGTAATTCAGTTGTCTTTTTCTGGCGTAAGAGCGATCGACAGAGAAAAAGCGGGAGAGAAACCGAGAAGACTATGACAAAGAGATAAAGAAAAATGGAGAGAAAGAAAAGAGAACTGGGGAGAGATGCAGAGTCGTTTATGTAAATAAGGAGATATGGAAAAAAGTTATTTGGTCAGAAAAAAAATCAACTTTATCGGTTTTGAAAAGAATTCCAGATGTATAGACGTCTATGAGAAAATGACTGTAGAGAAATGCAAAAGAGGCACATTTCCCCTCTGTGGGACTACTGAGGTATTCTGAGGTATTCTGAGATGACAAAGGGATTAAACAAAATGGACACTGAAGAAAAGAAGACAGTGGAGAGATTCAGAGTAGTGTGCAAAATAAAAAAGAGATGGGAAGATGTAGTCATTTAGTTAGAATATATCTTGTACCTTTCCAAGATAAAGTCACATTTCTCTCAGCAATGAACAATCAATCATCCAATCATTAAGTTCTCCACTTTTGTTAGAGAAAGAGGAAATGTATGAAAGGATGAAGGGAATGAGGAATCAAGAACAGTTGAAGGGAATGAGGAATCAAGAACAGATGAAGGGAATGAGGAATCAAGAACAGATGAAGGGAATGAGGAATCAAGTGATGAACAGATGAAGGGAATGAGGAATCAAGAACAGTTGAAGGGAATGAGGAATCAAGAACAGATGAAGGGAATGAGGAATCATGAACAGATGAAGGGAATGAGGAATCAAGAACAGATGAAGGGAATGAGGAATCATGAACAGATGAAGGGAATGAGGAATCAAGAACAGATGAAGGGAATGAGGAATCAAGAACAGATGAAGGGAATGAGGAATCAAGAACAGATGAAGGGAATGAGGAATCATGAACAGATGAAGGGAATGAGGAATCAAGAACAGATGAAGGGAATGAGGAATCAAGAACAGATGAAGGGAATGAGGAATCAAGAACAGATGAAGGGAATGAGGAATCATGAACAGATGAAGGGAATGAGGAATCAAGAACAGATGAAGGGAATGAGGAATCAAGAACAGATGAAGGGAATGAGGAATCAAGAACAGATGAAGGGAATGAGGAATCATGAACAGATGAAGGGAATGAGGAATCATGAACAGATGAAGGGAATGAGGAATCAAGAACAGTTGAAGGGAATGAGGAATCAAGAACAGATGAAGGGAATGAGGAATCAAGAACAGATGAAGGGAATGAGGAATCAAGTGATGAACAGATGAAGGGAATGAGGAATCAAGAACAGTTGAAGGGAATGAGGAATCAAGAACAGATGAAGGGAATGAGG